CAATGGGTGCTGTTGTCGTTACCGCAGCCCTGGCAACACGCGTCACAGATTCGATAATGAATGCCAGTTGGTGGGCACAGAGAGGAAAGAACAGAGAGCCCATTGTTTCAGCTCATCCATCTAATTTCAAACCAATTGCTTCAGTAAAGTCTTCTGTCTTGGTTACAGCCAATGGCAAATTAAAGAGCTGAAATATTGCAAATCTTGTAATTCACTCTGGATCATCAATCAGAACTAACTAAAAGAGCTTTGAACAAGGAAACAAATTCAATTCTCAGCCTTACCTGCAAATAGAAGCCTGGAGAGAAGTGCAGCTCATCACTGGGTGGGCACCCACTGTGCCCTCCTCTTGCGATCAGGTTCTAGCTAGTGTGGTATGAGGGGGGGCTCTTCATCTTACTCTTCTGTGTCCATGACTACAGCTCCATAGAGTGGGGTGACAGGTACCGCCGTCCGCTGCAGCACTGGCGCAGTGCTGAGGCCCAGGAAGGAGTGTCCTCTTAGATGGCAGCTTCTGCTGAGGTTCAAGGCAGGTATGGGTTCCTGCCTTTTCCTACTCTGAATCAATGTGATGAACGAACAAGCTAATACATGTGAAAGAACTTTGTTTACACAAATGAAGCGGTTACTGTTTTGATTATTTTAGGATGTGGAGTCAGGTGGTGGTGGAAAGAACACAAAGTCAGAAGTCCTGGGTTTGCATCCTAGCTTTGAAAGCTGGCTCCATCTCATACCAGGGTCCCCCTTTTCCCAGTGCTACTTTTAAGCGTTTTCCTGTGGCTTCTTTCCCCTTTTATTTTAGTTAATTAATTAATTAATTTATTTATTTACTTATTTTGAGACAGAGTGTCTCTCTCGTCCAGGCTAGAGTGCAGTGGCACAATCTCTGCTCACTGCAACCTCTGCCTGCTGAGTTCAAGCAATTGTCTCGCCTCAGCCTCCTGAGTAGCTGGGATTATAGGCGTGCACCACCACGCCCGGCTAATTTTTGTATTTTTAGTAGAGATAGGGTTTCACCATGTTGTCCAGGCTGGTCTTGAAGCCCTGACCTCAGGTGATCTGCCCCTCTCGGCCTCCCAAAGTGTTGGGATTACAGACGTGAGCCACCGTTCTGGGCTCTTTCCCCTTTTAAATCAGATGTTCTTTACTTTTACTTGTGCCATGGTACCTCTTTGATATTCTAATTAAGCTAATGAATCACTCTACAGACTGTTTATTCTGTAAAATTAAACATATAAAATTAAAATGCATAGGATTACAAAGGAAACCAATTATATTGACATAAAGTTATCAATATGCAAAGAAGTAAATTTGTCATATTGTGATACCTGTCCTTTATTAAAATGCATTACTTACCAGTATCTAGTGACAGGTCTAATAACTACTGTAATTTTGAAATAGTGATGAGTGGAAATGATACTTTGAGATATTGCAATAACTAATGTGATATGAAAATATCTTTGCTGTCTACGAAAATATCTTTGATGTCAAAGAAAATATCTTTGATGACAAGTTACAGAAGGAAATGATAATTTTAGTTAGAAGTTAGTAAAAATAAAAATAAAATTTTTTATCAACAGCCTGAATTCTGTCTGACACCCTTAGCCTTGCCTTAAATTTCACCCTTTCTTGTTATGCTGTGCATTTTCCAGGGACAAACTCTGTGTTCCACTGTCCCCCAGCTGCAGCTGCTCCTTCACTGTCAGTGACTCCTAAATGTACACCTCTGCTGTCTAGGCAGAGAACTGAAGCGCCTGGCCTGCATCTCCTGGGACATGCTGAATATCCTCCCTGAATGGCTCAGAGGACCTCAAACCCAGCCTCCTTCAGCAAACTCCTTGGCTTGAGCATCTCCCCACCCTGCTCCCAGCAGCCTGCCCTTCCTCCTTGTCCCTAGCTCTGTGAATGGCATTAGCAACCACCACGTGGCTCCAGCCCTGAGCTGGCTTGACAAGGGAGCCAGTGAGCATGTTGCTGCAGGGGTTGCTGTGCAAGACTCCTTGATACAGTTTATGAAAGTACAAACTTGTATGTTTTACAGCACTGGCCGCTGCTTGCCTTTACCTGGGATGTCTAAATTTCTACTCACTGAACAAAGCCTCATTCTTCCTTTTCAACATGCATATCTGGACACTTTCTGGTTTAGCATCCCTTGGTGATGCCTCTTTGCTCCCTGATGCGACATAAGAGGACTTTACCTTCCTCATAGCGTTTTCTTCTGCTGGTCCCTCAGCCTTACTAAGGCCCCTGCAGGCAGTCCCTCCGATATCCCCCACGGCATTTACCCCTTTGCTTTGGCAGACTGAGTGAGTGCCCTCTCCCTGGGGACCCTTTCCCTTCCATGTTGCCTCCAGGTCTCAGTTCTGTGGCCACTTCTCTGAAAAGACTTTTTGAGGACCATTCACAGTGTTGTTTTTATCCACTGTCTCCCCGCCCTTGCATTTGACCAGGGCCTTGGCAGGGTTTAAATGGTACGCACTCAGGAAGAAAGAGTTATTAAAGTACATGGTTAGGAGCACCGACCTGGATTCTAATCCCAGCTCTGTCTCTAACTGTGTGATCTTGGCAGTGTACTTACTAGCCTTTGGACGCCTCAGTTTTCTCATCTGTAAAACTGGTATAATAATAGAGTGGTAAGGTTTAAATGAGTTGGTACTTATAAAGCACTTTAGAACCAAGCTTGGCTCATCGTAAGAGCTTAAATAATAGCTATCCTTATTCATTTTAGTTTTTTGTTCGTTTGTTTTGTTTTGTTTTGTTTTGTTTTTTTGAGACAGAGTCTCGCTCTGTCGCCCAGGCTGGAGTGCAATGGCACGATCTCGGCTCACTGCAACCTTGGCCTCCCGGGTTCAAGTGATTCTCCTGCCTTAGCCTCCTGAGTAGCTGGGATTATAGATGTGCGCCACCACACCCAGCTAATTTTTGTATTTTTAGTAGAGACGGGGTTTAGACAGGGTTTCACCATGTTCGTCAGGCTGGTCTGGGGTTCCTGACTCATGATTGGCCTGCCTTGGCCTCCCAAAGTGCTGGGCTTACAGGCATGAGCCCCTGCACCTGGCCTCATTTTAGTTTTAGTAATACAGCTTGGGCTCATTTAAAAGTCATATCCTGCTATAGTCTTATTATTGCTTTATTAAAGAATGTAGTGTAATTTGGTGCCTATGACTTAACTTTTCTTCGTCTTCATTAATGTTAATATTAGACATTCATTTTAGATGAATTTATATGTGGCAAAAGGAAATAAATTTTTACTGAAAGATAAGAGAAATTCTGGGAATACAGACATACAGACTGATGGAGACACAGCCCCACCAGTAGTTTATCTAGCTGAGTTGGGGATTTATTCATATTTCTTCCATTTCAAAGATTGTGTTGGTCTCCCAGGAGTATTTTGTGAAGCTCTTTGTGCAGAGGAGAGATCAATATTATTTATCAGAGGATTTCCTTGGGCATGCAAATTATCATATATGTTTGCAAACCAGATCTATGTAAAAGAGATGGTTTTGAATCTAATTGCATTTTTTGCATGAGCATTTTATATCCTCTAGAAATATATCACAATTGTGTGGAAAAATTTAACATTTAACAACATATTGTATGTGACATTAATGTGCTCGCATAGCTGATCCTTCCCTGTTTTTCTTCCAACATCAAAGTAGTAACGCTTCCCCTGAGGTTTGTTCAGCTCGTCCAGCCTTCTCTTGGTTTTGCCAGCAGGTGGGGCACTAGCTCCTTTTAAAGTCATCGGCCACATGTCTTGAGGCTCGTTTTCTTTTCTTCCAGAGGTGGAGGGGATTGTCTTGCCGCGTCACTCTGAAGTGACCCCATGAGATCCTGTTGAGCCGTGACCCGGGAGTGGGTAGAGGAGGTGGGAAAGGTGTGTGTTAGATCTAAAATAGTCTCCAGGATTTTCATGCCTGGATTTGCTGAGCTAATGGCTTGTATTTCACAGGTTTTGAGTCACTTGAATTTTACCAGTAATTCATGTAAATCAGTTTGGCAACAGGTGAATCACATTTTGCTTGGCATATGTGGTCCAATCTTATGGTTTAGGAGAAACAATAAAACTCAGAAACTTTGATCATTATGTTAAAATAAGTCTTATTTAAACAAAATACAAATCATGGCAACAAGCCATTAGAATTAAAACTGTTCTTGGAGTTGAGTTCTAGGGGAAATATGTATACTGTGAGCACATTGTGTAAAAAGCTGAGCATAGATTCTTCTTCTTTCTTAAGCAATATGCTAGAACATTACTGACTCTGTTTTAAGATCTAACTGCTTTAAGGAATTGATTGACTACATTTTTCTAGAATGAAACATAAATTTCTTACTTTGAAATCTTAGTGAGTGGTATTAAGTTCCATTTTAAAAGGCAGCTTAAAGATCCGTGTTAAAAGACATGTCTTAGCTTATACATCTATTCTAAATGTAGGTGGTGAAACTGAATTATAAGAATGTTTTTAAGATTTATAGACACTAAGTCAGAATCAGAAGTTAGAAGGTTCTTTGACAAATTTTCCTGTTGAACTTATGTTAATCATTGGATTTGATGAAGTTTTTAAACTTATTCAATGATATCTGAAAATAGTAATAGTATCTACATTGGATTCTCAGAAATGATAACTTCATATGTCCCTCTTATGCAATGTGAAATTACAGTGCTATCTGTTCCATAACTGCCACCCAACTTGTACAATATAAAAATCATTTCATGGCCCTAATGGAGGACAGACTGTATTCCCTTGTTTAAAGTAAATGAGTCACTTTAATGCAGTGTCTGAGGGGAGAGAAGGGAGTAAGAGTTCCCTTTGTTTAAGTTTGTGTTATGGTTTTCTTGGGCAGCAAGTACGAAAGTGCAGCCCGAAGCTGTAGCTCATTCTGTATGTGGGTTTTATTTCTCACAGCAGTCTGGTGTCTATTTAACATACGGGGAGTGGTTTCAAGTTCATTACTAAAGCTTATAGGTTAAAGTGCTTTGTGGGCTTGGCTATGACTGAAGTCGCCTTGAGGGAGTCAGCCAAAACTGGGCTTGGGAACAGGAAGGCTTTCCCTGTTTATTTGGATTCTCAGGGTAGTCAATTTTGCCACCTCTTGGCTTTCAGCTGCTTTGGAGATTGGTTTCATAGCAAGGATTCTTTCCTTAAAGTGATATGGAGCAACTATTTTCACAGGGGCACCAGGTTAGTAAATAACTTTTTGCACTTTCTGCTGCATGTGTCAGATTTTCTTTCTGAGCTCGTGGTGTGATGATAGGACAAACTGGGTTGCTGCGTTCTTTTAGAAAATAATGTGAGTTCGTTTATCCTGCAGAGGTTTAGGGGGTTATGTTTCTCCTTATAATATATGCATTGTTTACCCATATTAAATACAATGGGAAGCCAAGAGGAAATGACATATTCATATCTGTGTTGGATTTGCAATCCAGAAGTCTAGTTAGTAAATATCAGCCCCCACCACTTTTTTTTTTTTTTTTTTGAGACAGGACGTTGCTCTGTCACCAAGGCTGGAGTACAGTTGAATCATCATGGCTCACTATAGTCTCAACATCTTGGGCTCAAGCGATCCTCCCACCTCAACCTCCTGAATAGCTGGGATTACAGGTGCATGCCACCACACCCAGCTAATTTTTTTTTTGTACTTTTTATAGAGACCAGGTTTTGCCATGTTGCCCAGGCTGGTCTCCAACTCTAGGGCTCAAGCGATTCGCCTGCCTTGTCCTCCCAAAGTGCTGGGATTACAGGCATGAGCTACCTTGCCCAGCCCAGTTCCTTTCTTATCATTACTTTGTGTCCTCGCACTAGACTTTCTAGGTATAAATATGATTTTATATGCAGTTGATTTTATTTTTTGAAACATTAAGTAGCGGGGAGTTGTGCCCCAGTTGGGGTTGTCCTCCCTCACCACACTGGTGCATGCCTGTCTGATGCACGGTTTTTCCTCGGGCCTACTCCTTGGAGTTACAGTGAACCAGAATATCATTTTAATTTTTCTCTTTGAAAAGTCTGGCACTTTTCTGGAACGCCTCATAAAATACTGGCATAAGATTTGATTCAGGCAGAATGTACAGGTGGATTAAGCCCCACTGAATTTTGTCTTCAGTTTTGCTGTTTTTATTCTCAAGTGATTCTTCAGAATACAAGATTACCCTAGGATTAAAGAACAGCTGTAAAAATGGAGTGTGACTTGTAAAACATAAAAGTATAGTTAATAGTAATTAAGAAATTAAGTCAATATAATCAAGCACAGAGGAAAACATTGTCTTCCTTAATCTCATTAATTTAAAGATCTAAAGAGCAATTCTGCCTTTGTTAATTTGCCACCAAAGCAATCTGGCATGAAATTGTTCTATAGGAATAGTTCAATTTGGTGTTTTAAAGTTTGCAACACTTTATGAAATAGAGTCTCTCGCGCTCATGTTATTTTAAGGATGCTTTAGTTCAGGGTAATGTACTAGTGTTTTAAAATATGCTAATATGCTTCTGTTATTGCCATTTTATTCTCCTTTTTTCCCCACTGGGAAATACAGTGTATTAGAAAGGGTCTGTTCTTTCATGTTCTTCTCTGCTTAAAGAAAATTGAGGGGGAAGGGAGACAGAAATAGGTAATTAAAAAAGATCTTTGAGGTGATATGCCACACTTTAAGGATCCCTTTCCCATCAGTGCTAAGTTGAAGTTATAATGTTATGGCTGCATGCCATTTCGGGATTACAAAATTGACTGTATTTTATACCCCCTAAGACACAATTGTACAGCTGTGTTATTGTCCCTGCCTCTGTAGATATTTTCTTTAACAGTAAGTTTATTACATCATTTTAGCTTCCCCAAAGTGCAAAGATTGCTATGACTTTGCTAAGTTTTATATATATGCCATACATATGCTATGACTACACATATGTGCTGTTGTGCAATTATTAATTATTAAATGATATTAAATTTTAAGGAACGACTTGTCTACCTGATTGTAGCTGCCTGATGATTTTAGAGAGAAATATTAAGACATATTACTCATTGATTACTTGTTTGTGCTTGACGGGTACAGATAAAGATCTTTCAAACTTACATGAAACTCATTTGTAACTCGTAGATCTCAGTTTCTGTGTTCCCAAGTGCTTCATAGCTTTTCATCTCAGATGGCAACAAAGCAAAGACCCCTGATTAGAAACAAAAATAATGTGGCAAAGGATTAGATAAGAGGGAAACTCCCTAAAAACCAGATTTTAGGGTTTTCCCAGAGAATATACACATTAAAATGTTTCCTCCAAACGTGGGAGAAAAAAAACAAAGGACTACAGTAGAGAGTTCAAAATCTGTACATTTGGGATAAAGTATCTAAGCAAACCTTAGATTATTCCTGATTCTAGGTTTGGAACACACATTGCATTTGTGTTCTCATTCTGCTGGACTGGCTTAATTTTGTTATATATTTGTTATATTTTGGCTAATAAGAGATGGGTATTTGCCTCATAACATACCATCTAATTTTAAGCTGAGTTTTGTGCTAATTAATTGTTATCCAACATGCTTTTTTGTGGATATTCAAAGTGATTTAGATGTCTCACACATCTCAGATGGTTTATGAACCTAACTATGACCCAGAAGGATGCAATGCCAATTTTCTTATAAAATGAATCTGAGTTTCAAAGCTGGAGATAAATTCTTAGGCAAACTTTTTTAACTTGAATTGGCTACGCCCCAAACGTTGAGCAAGTTGCATGGCAGTAGAAGATCAGGACTCTGAGGAAATAACTGAGGAACTAGGTGTAGCAGTGGTATTAGAGATGAATTTTCTGACTGTCGAACCTTGATAGATTTTCACCAGATGGACCAGTTCCGTTCACAGCCCAGATCACTCCTTGTTCTTGCGTGATCACACATAGTCTTGATCTTTGCAGCATATGGTTTGGGAGGTGCAGGCTTTTGATTTGCAGTTTATAGCCTTGTCAGCTTCAAGTAAGGACTAAAATGAACTGTGCCACATCTGCCTTTTCCAAGAACCATCCTCCTGGTTCTTGCCCCCTCAAGAACCAGGTGCTTGTGTGCACATAGGTCTTATGGTTGTGTATCAGGAAATGTGGAAGATTATGATACCACCCACCCCAGAAATTCACTACTTTAGTAATGTCAGTAAATACTGAACTTCCCAGAGGAATTGCAAAAGCTGAGGACAGAGTATACTCCTGGAGCTGATCTGACCACGGAGGTCCCCAGTTGCCTGTTTCATTCCAAAGAACCCAATTTAAGTTTGACCTGGGATTTCCGGGGTCGTCGTACTACCCTAGTAGTAGTAATAGTCATAGCAGAAGTGGTAGAATAGTGGTAATAATAATAATGAACACAAAAGACATTTCCTAAGTGCAGTCACTATTCTAAGCCCTGCCCCACCTCCTTTTTTTTTTTTTTTTTTTTTGAGGCAGAGTCTCACTCTGTTACCCAGGCTGGAGGGCATTGTCACGATCACTGCTCACTGCAACCTCAAACTCTTGGTCTTAAATCAGCCTCCCACCTTGGCTTCCCAAAATGCTGGGATTACAGGCATAAACCATGTAAACAAAATGCTGGGATTACAGGCATGAGCCATGTCAACAAAATGCTGAGATTACAGGCATGAGCCATGTAAACAAAATGCTGGGATTACAGGCATAAGCCATGTAAACAAAACGCTGGGATTATAGGCATGAGCCATGTTAACATGCCCGGCCTGTTCTAAGCCTTTTCCTTAATGCTCACAACAACCTTAAGTGGTTGATTTTCTTTATTATCTCCATTTTACAGTTGAGGAAACTATCCAAGAAAGTTAGATTGACCCACGTCAGAGCAACTAGTAAGCAGCAGTGACAGTGTTGTGCATCAGAAGGTGCTGTGGAGGGGGAAAAACTGAAAATATAATCCAATATTAGAAAAATATAAGAAAAAAATACAACCGAATACATTTTGGATTGTATTATATCCGATATAATCCAGTATTTGTTATTGAGAAGCAACCATGTAGATACTGACATCTGTGCTGCTCTTCATTCTGAAGATGCTCCGTTGACCTACTGTCAACCAGCAGGGCAAGCCATTTGTATCCTTTCTCCACTTGGGTTGGTAAGCTTGTGTTCTGCTTTCTCACCTACACTGCTCATGACCAGTGGCAAGAACCTGGTGACCAATGGCAGGATATAGAGGTTGCCCATGGCCTGTAAATGAGACCAGTACTGGCCAGGCCACATGGAGAATAGCCCACTGCATTGAATACTGTCTTTTAACTATTTAAGCTACTCTTGGGATTTTAGAGACTTTTTAAGGCTAAAATAATAAAACCACTAAAGCTAGGAACTTGGATTTTCTGATTGTTTAGCTTTAATTTGGCCTGTATGAGTGTCCTCTTTATTTCTGCCCAGTATGACTTCCTGCTAGTAATCAAAGCTCTGGTTATTTTGTCAGTCTTGAAGGTTTTCTTAAGCTTAGTGGATAACCGAGATTATGAGACATGTATTTTTTTTAAGAGACATAAATGTGCATTTGAAAAATATTGGGCAAATAACTTCTACACAATTTGACTAAAATTTAAACATGTGAAAAAAAAAGTTGGAACCTTTAACAACATAGAACAAGATAGCCCAGCCAGATTAAGGAGCTAACTTAAAAGAAAGAAAAGAAACCAAACAATAAGAATTCTGATCTTTGAACGGGTAAGTACTTTCTCTTCCCAAAATCAATAGAGGAAATCACAAAAGGAAAAAGTCCATAGATTTAAATTTTCTAGGTAGGAGTATAGAAGCTTTAAGTATAAAAATGTTAATCGAAACTTTATTTATTACCATGAAAAGTTGCAAATAATAAAAACATAGAGTAGCAGAAGAAAATTGCATGATGGACCACCACAATTTTATTTATGGAAAATTGTAATAGGAGGAAATGGTGATGATAGATCTTTAAGTTAAAATAATGGATATTAAACTATCTCTCCATCATACATCTGAATGTGTTTAAAATATACCTCTCTATGTGTGTTATGCTTCCAGAGACAATAGAAAGGACGATCTCCTTAAGTTAATAGAGATTTAGGGGTTATTTTGAAGGTGGGATTTCTGATGATTTATATTTTCTTCTTATACTTTTCTACATATTGGTATTTTTAAACATGATTACTTTATATTCATTTAGAAAAGGGAAAAACTATTCATGGAGAAAAAAA